TTTAAAAAAAAAAAAAAAAAAAAAAAGAAAAGGGGCAAAGTATATGTGTTAGAACTGTAATGGAGATATCCTAAAGAATGGATAGAAGAAATAAGTGTAAGATGCCATGAACATAAAGTTTATATTTCATTTTTCCAAAAGCTAATGACTCTTGGGGCTTATTCAGAAATTCGGACAAATTTCATTTTATCACTATGAAAATGACATACCTCACATTCCATGCAGTGGTAAAGTCTGGGTTTAGAAGCAGCAGGGTGCATGTGACATCTATCAACTCTAAAATAAAGAGAAGTCATATTAAAAGCAAATAGTCCTATCCATTAAAGCTTGGCTTGTCTTTCTTTTAAGGAATTTTCTCTCTATCAATGTTATATGTCATGTCATACTAATTTTAATGATAGATACCCTGTTCTAAGCTGTCAGGGATATAAAGATTATCCTCAAGACTTTCTTCTACTTATAATAAGTATAACTGTTTTAAAAGTTGACACTGAAACAATTTTACAATAAGCTGATAAAGAATAATCTAATGAACCTCTTCATTCTTTTAGTAGTTTTTGGCACTAATTTAATATTAACCAAGGAAAAGAAACACAGTATCTGTACCACTAGTCATTTAATTCCACAAATATCTCAAGTATTGACTATGTGCAAATTTTCAAGAAAAAAAAAAAATTCGTAATCCAGCCTACTTAACACAATCCATTTACATTCCCATGCAAAAATTATCCTTTCTTGCCCATATTTTTACAAGCTATAGCAATGATAAATGTACAATTTTGTTCTATTTTTTCACTCAGTATTATTTCATATACTCTCCTATATTGTTGCAGTATTGTATTTTTAATAGCTGCATAACAATCCCTTAGTTTAATATACTATCATTTATAATTATTTTAATACGTTAATTACAATAACTATATTAATATAGCCTCATTCTTTAGGCTGTTTCCTGTTTTTACCTCAATAGATAATATTACTACAAACATTTTTAAACAGACTTTTTGGCTTAAAGATTATTTTCTTAGAATATATTTCCTGAGGTAGAACTACTATGTCAATACCAAAAGCAGTATGGTTCCTACTAAGCATTTTCAAATTGTCCTCCAAATACACTGTATCTATTTATACTGTCAAGAGTAACATGAGTGTACTTATGTTCCTGTAACTCTTCCCTATACAATTGTATTTTAAAAAATCAATGTGGCAGATAAAAAAATTGTCCTTTTTTCTGTTTTAAGTTACATCTTTAATTTACATTTATTAATATGAACATTTTTTCATTTTTGTTTACAGCACTTTAAGTTCATCTTATAAACAGCCTATTTATATTCATTAGCTATTTATCTATCATAGTTTTGATAGAATGCCTACGTATTCAAATAAGCTCCATAAAGCTACATTTAAAAATAGAAAATCAGTAAATTTAGACATATTGTCTTTGTTTACTAAAATTGAAACGAGAATTCTAGGATTAAGATTCTTAATCTAGGGGCATAATACTAAATTTTGGTAACCCTACTAAGCTCATATTAACTGCCAAGTAAATAAAATAACAAAAATAATCATTATTGTTGGGCAGGCCAGATTGGTAGGACCAGAAAGTGGCAACAAAGTAGCGATGGAGCCTCCATCTTGTTAACTCCACCCCTCCCCCTTTACCCTCCCTGGAATTACGTCAACCCTGTTAGGCGGGAACCAGAAACTGAAGGGCTCAATTCCTTACCAGATAATGGGCAAAAAACTTACCAACAGCCCTCCCCTATAAATACCTGTTTGTATCTATTCTGGGCACGACTTCCCCAGCTTCACTCCCTTGAGAGCCACGGAACCTCGCCCTAGAGCACTTCCATTAAAGCCTGCCTTGAACCTACTGCTTGGCTCCTTTTGTTACTTAACCACTGCCGATTCCAACCGGACAATTATTACTTGGCATTACTGTGTACCAGGCATGGTATTAGGTACTTTATTTACATTATTTCACTGAATTATCATAATCACAGTCCAAGATATTCTTATCCCATTCTACAGATAGGGAAACAGACTTAGAAAGTTTAAGCAGTTTGCCCATAGTCATCCAGTTAGCTTATGGCAAGGTCAACGTCTGACTGCATTTGACAAATCAATAATATTGCAACTGAAATGTCTGTTTGCAATAAATAATCAGGAGATTTTCAGTGTTTAAGCAAAAGATAATCTTTTTAAAATCTAAAAATACATAGCCATAAATATATCCTATAGTCATTTTTAAATATTCTAGTTAACAAAATCAATTACTCACACCATCTTAATAAGAGATTAACATTTATTTTGAGCTCATGATTTCATTACTACCAAACATACTATAACAAATGAGCAACAAATGGTAGGATCAGCACACATTTATTTTTTACTTCCATCTCCCTGTTACAAGTCATCACATGCATAAACAAAATACGCCTATAAAGAATAACCTAATTAACCTCTTCATTCTTTCACTTGTAGTAATAATTTTGGGCACTAATTTAATATTTACCAAGAAAATAAAAATAATGTTCCATACCACTATTCATTTAACTCCACAATATTCCAAATATTGACTATGGGCAAAGACTAAACGGTGCCCTCAAGACTGAGAAAATGGATATAATGGCACTAATTTAATATTTACCAAGAAAATAAAAATAATGTTCCATACCACTATTCATTTAACTCTACAATATTCCAAATATTGACTATGGGCAAAGACTAAACGGTGCCCTCAAGACTGAGAAAATGGATATAATGTATAATGACCTGATCTTGCCCTCTAAATGGTTACCCTCTTGTTGGAGAGAACATATAAACAAATAATTACATAAGGCAAAAGGAAATAATTATGAAGTAGAAGCATATACCACATTTTGGGGCCCACTAAACAAGCTGCAATTAATTCTTACTGGAATACTCACGGAAGACTATAAATGAATAAGGTGGTAAAGGCACTGCACAGACTGTGGGGAAAGTATGGGCAAAGGCAGAGAGGCATGGAACCTCAACAGTCTGCTCTGCAAGAGATTATGTGGACCAGGGCCTGTCTACAGCACAGGGTGCTAGAGAAATGTACTAGGAAAAGAAGCATTCTAAAACCTGGTCCCAATCTCCTTCTGCTACTTCCATTTACACACTATGCTCCACCCGAATCAAACCCCACCATCCTCTGAACGTGCCTCCTACCTGCCTACCTTCTTTTCTCTGGGCATGACTCAGATTTACCTGCTTGCTATTCTTTCTGCCAGAAATGTCTTCCCATCTCCGAATATTAAAATCATAATAATTTTTCATTTCTCAGGAACTCTTAAATGCATCTTTCCCGGGCCGAGCCCGTGGCGCACTCGGGAGAGTGCAGCGCTGGGAGCGCAGCAGTGCTCCGCCGTGGGTTCGGATCCTACATAGGGATGGCTGGTGCGCTCCCAGCGCTCACTGGCTGAGTGCGGTGCAGCCGGTCTCAAAAAGGATTAAAAAAAAAAAAAAATGCATCTTTCCCCATAAAGGCTTTCCTGACCTACGTAGCTGGAAGAAATGTGTCATCTCTACATTTTGTGTGTATCTTACTTTGTTATTTACCTTATAATAGTATCCTCTTAATTAGATTATAAATATTTTGGAGGCAGGTCCTCCCTAATACATCTTCAGATTACTTACTCAACAAATTTTGTAAGCATCTACAACAAGCCAGGTACTGAGCTGGGTGAAGATGAGTAAGGTAAGACCCCTACCCGAAAGAAGCTCTGTGTCTGCCCACAGTATAGAGAAGTGGTAAGGGCATAGGCCTTAAAGCCACACCACCCAGGTTTGAATCCCAGCTCTCCATTTACTACTTACATAACTTAACCTCTTTCCTTTCCTGTGAAATGGGGATGACATCATCAACCTGTGTTGTAAGCAATGAGATTCATTCTATTTCTCCATAGCTGTCTGATACACAGTGAGTGCTCAATAAATATGTGTTCAACTAAACACCATTGCTAGTTACCAACCCAAAAATGAATATTTTCAACATTAATCGAAGAAGTCAAAAATAATGAGGCAGCTGTTCCTATAGTGAAACTGTCTAAATTTTCAAACTTGTAAAATAAGGAATAATAACGAAAAACCCCACTTAAGTCAAGTAGCTATATGTAAAGGTGTGTGCATGATGGGGAAGTCTCTGAAATTTCAGAAAGCCATTATACGACTTACCACATAAATTGAACCCCGACTTTTTACATTTAAAGAAATTGTGTGTAACCACCGGTAGTTGCTATTTATACCTCTAATGCAATTCTCCTCCTCTCACCCATAACTGAAGACAAGTTCATCCTCCATGAGAGTGACTTCTGTACAGCAGCACAAGGCAAAAACTAACAAATAAACACAACAAATACTTATGTCCCCGCTTTACATTTTGTGACTGTGTAAACAGAGGAAAGATGACCCTTAAAGTAAACCTTCCTCCACTGGACTGTCTCCCCCCAGGATGGCAACAACAGCTGTTTGTTCAGAGCCCAGCTCCACCACCTACTGAGAGTTCTTAAACTTTCTGTGCCTTAGTGTCTTCCTCACATGTAAAATGGAGTTAATAACAGTGCCACCTCATGGGGGTATTAAATGATTTAAACCTATGAAGTATTAGGACAGTACCCAACATACAGTAAATGCTGAATGATAATTCCTGTTACAAAGCCTGTATCTCCTGGCTCAGTTCCACAAATGAAACTGGAACTGAATGCCTCCAGAGGGAGGAAAAGAATCACCTAAACTGGTTGAGCAGTGACTGCTGAGCAGAGAGATACTTTTCAATGTCTAAGCATCTCAGGATTTAAAATATCAACAGCCTTGACCAACCACCAGTGCTGCCTAGTAACACATAAAACCACTGGCCCTTTTCGCCTCCTTTTTGACACACTGCTAACTCTTCCTGATTCAGGACTCAAGTGCAGACAGAACCTCCTTTAGAAAGCATTCCAGTCAGATGCAAGAGGCAGGGTTGAAGTGGAATGTCAGAAATGGGAAAAGGCCAATCAAGAAGTAACTAGGTTAGAAATATCAAGCATAATAAAAGAATTAGAGCCTCACAACAACCCTCTGAGGTCTTGATTAATATTCCCTTCTTTTGGTGTGAAAATGGGAAGAAAGAGGTTAAGTAATTTGCCTAATGTCACTGCTAACTGACTTCAGTGTGCTGGTGAGTTGAATTTGAACCCAGGTCTGTCTTCCTGCAAAGAAACTGCTCTTCCCACTCTAGCATTATAGGCAAATACTTTGCCTCTGGAGGTCAGAACTGAACCAAAGACATAAAGATAAACATGCATAATCAACAGCTGACTGCAACTATTGTACTTTGTCAATTTCATCAACCACATACCATTTTCTCTGCAGGTTCACCCAAAAAATATGAACTACTGAAATCCCTACAGCCTCTTGAAATTAAACAGGTCTCTCTCCAAACACCAGAACATACACCAGCAAACAAATGTTCCTTTGTCACACACACTCGATATATGACTAACCCATCATCACATCACAAGGAGAAAATGCATCAGGGTACACTATACACAGGAAAGTAGCTAAATTCCAGCTGTAACAAGGAGAAGACGTAAGGATGCTACAGAAGCCAGAGAAAGATCAATGTGCTTAGTTTGCTACGCTGCACTCTAGACATGGCCCAAGGACAGCAGTCACCTGGTAATGGTCACCAGGTTTGACAAGTGTCTCTAAAAGAAAAACATTTTCATGCATCTAGAAATAAATTCAAGGTCAGCTTGGATTGGTTAATCTCTCCCTCCAAAATATATTCAGGCTACAACAAGAGAGGCTAGAGGTAAAGCTATGTGGTAAACACCAGAGAGGTCTTATTCATTAAGGTACACAGTCACTGAATCGATAGTTATACTAAGCTAAAAACTCTTAATTACCAAACTCCTGTTACTCATCTGACAAATGTCTATTGAACGCATAAAGGTGCCGAGTAAACAAAGAAAGATGAGCCATAATACCTGTTCCTAACAAACTCACAATTCAGACAGGAAAAAAGCTGTTTAAATAATCAACTATAATACAGTGTGGCAAGTGTTACTAGTAAGCAAACAGTCAGAACAAAGAATTCCCATAAGAGTACAGAGAAATAATTATTGGTTCTTGAAGCAGTCAAAAAGGCTTCACAGTATTGCATGGCAAGCACACCTATGATGACAATGTAAGACATGAGCCCGGCCTCAGCAAAGGCATGAAAGTAAGGCAGTAGCACAAAGCAAAGTCAAAGAATGGAACAATGTAAGTTGTGGCTGGAATGCATACCAAATGGCTGCAAAAGCAAATGCTTCTAGGGTTTAAATGAATGTCAAAAAAGCAGCAAAGCAAACCTGATGAGAAGTGGCAACTGACACTCTGTCTCAGTGTCTAACAGGTATGAAGATATCGTAGTAAACTAGAACAAACTTGCCAAGTTAAGAAATGTAGAGTCTATGAACCCCAGTCAATTGATGCCATGCAGAAAGAAACTTGTATACCCAACCCAAGCCTTCTGATCTTTCATGTGAAGACAAAAAAGCATATTTTCATCCCAATTTTAAACATTTATCCAAAAAATTAAAAACAATTTTTAAAACATTATATAAGACAAAACAAAATGTATCTGTAGACATGTTGAGAATGTGCAACCACTGATGCTGATTATAATGCACAGAAAAAAGATGGAAACAGATTGTGAAGAGCCTCAAATACCCTGCTAAGAAGTGTGAACTCTACATTGACCCCACAGGCATCATGAAGTAAGATGAAGAGGTATATATTTCAGAAAAGCATCTCTCAAACTGTTTTTAAGAAATGTTGTTGGGAAGTATTTGAAATGATTGGCTAGTGGCATGATGGAAACAAGGCCTGAAAATGGGGTAGACCAGTTATGAGGAAGTAACACTTGTCCAGGTGAGAAACAATAAAGGCCTGGCCAGCAAAAGAAATGGAGAGCAGAAGATGGCTTTTAAAGAGACAGCCCAGTTATGGACTGAGAGGGGAGTTTGTGAGAAAGAGAGACAAGCAAAAAAAGATGGCAGGAGGGCACATGTGAAAACAGAGAGTGTGAGAGAGAGCTCTGCCCAATCAAGACTTCAATGCTGTGGTCTTCTCCCTTACTTTTTGTATCTGTCATGGATTTCTCAAAAATTAGAATTATCATTCCTCTCCCAATCCAAATATGGCTATTACTAAAGCAGATTTTTAAAAAATATCAATCTCTAACTAACTAAACAGGGATGTTATCCAAACATCTGAGGAATTCCACATGTTAACAAGAACATGAATTCAGTATGGTCAAAAAAGATGAACAACAAAAAAATCTAACCCAAGAATAAAGTCACCTTCATTTACACAATACATTCTTATCGTGGGCAGATGCTTAGGATTCTGGGATGATCAGTCATTGCAGACAGACATTCTGAAACTATTCTTAAGCTGTCAGTTTTCTTCACTTGGCTCTTCTTCTACATAAATATTTTCTACAAAAATGGTTTTAAAGGCATAGCATTTTCATGAAACAACTGCTTTTTCCTAATATTTCTAAAAAAAAATTTTTTTTTTTTTAAAGCAAGATTCACACCTTTGTGCTCTAACTGCCTCGTTTCATAAGTTTGGCAGAAAACTCTATATTAGCCAGCATTTTCAGGTATCATTTTCTGTTAAAACAGAAATTCACTTCCTTATTTTTACAGATAAACAATATACAACCTGAGTAGTATATGACATCACACTAAACTATCCTCTCCTCAAATCCTCCTCTCAAAAAAAGTGAAATTGAAAAGTGCTATGAGGATACAGGTTAGGATAAAATCAAATGCTGCTTCTGTACACATGCACAATCGCACCAGAATTCAAAGTTGAAATGCCAGCTATTCGTGTGAGTGAGCTTAACCATCTGATCTTCAGCATGGGTCCTTCTGGACCCATCAAAACTAAAACTATGTAAAGAGGAGAAGGACAAGAAACAGGGAAATGGAGAGAAGGACTTGGAAGGCCACAGGAAGAAGATGGGTTGGGCTAGCATACATAAATGGGCAAAAGCTAATGATTTAAAACAACTATAGCCTTTCACTCTTAAAAAATTCATATTGTTTCTTCTCTGCAAAATAATCATTCTATCTTACCCCCAGAGTTAGTTATGTATTGGCTCAATTATACATTCTGTGCACCAGAATACAAACAATACAGCTTTGTTTGGCAAAAAAAAATAACTTGACCAACTAATATGGTTTTACTTTCTACCTCAGTGTTATTGAAACCTATGACATGATGATGGAATGGAGAATGAAAAGGGTCTAACAGATAAATACCCTTACTGTTAAGTTTACACCGAAATCTATGCCTTAAAGTTTATGCCATAAACCCAGGCATGCCATAAAGTTAGGCTATGCCTAAACTTAAGCATAGCTATCTAATTAAGAAATATGTATCAGAGAATGAAACAATCACACAGAAAACAGAAACCATTTCTCATTACACCTTCAAATCAGACTCCTTTTCTATGGTCTAAACAGGAAAAAGTGCTATTAACGTATTATGACAGTATGTAAAGCACAGTGCTGAGAGGAATTCAAGGAAATCAGCATGTCATATCGATGTCAACACTCTGCTCCATGTCTCCCTCCCCCAAAGATATTGTTTGTCATTCAACCGTAAGTTTTTTGAATAAAGGGAGCATGTATTATTCATCTTTTTATCCCCACAATACTCAGAACAGCTTCTGGTATGAGTAGGCCACTGGCAATGGCTACCAAACTGATAATTAAAATTCTCTAGGAAACAAAGTTCTTATTCAAAATCAGCCTCCAAGCACACTGAGCATTTCTGAAGGTACTGCTATATGTGGGAAGGGGAAGAAGCTTAACAAAAACTATACAGCACATGGTTTTAGAGAAGACTCCCCCAAAAAGTGAGAACTGAAGTGAGCCTAAAAGGATCAACAGAATTTGTGCACATGGAGACTTAATATGGGGGAACACTAAGAGACCAAGTGGGATGATTTTAGGGATTATCTGATGCAGTAAAAAACTGTCTCAGAGGAGTGGAAGAAGCGAATGCTGGAATGGTTTTCTTTTGCTCATTTCAGCACAGGAACAGAATGCAGAGGGGGCCAGAATTCAACTGGGATTCACAGTGCAATGTCACATTCATAAATCGCTAGGCTGGTTCACAGCACTACTACTCCCAACATGCCTCTGTTATCTCATTTCGATAAGAAAATGAGCTCTATTGCCCCTAAAATACTAAAGGATTAGAAATCAGAGACTAAGCTTATAGGAACCAGAGTCCTCTTCAGTGACAGTCAAACTTTTTTTTTTTTTTTAAGCCATAGGATGCTTTCTTCAAATAATATCTTATAAATAACCCCAATACATAAACAGATAAAATCAGAATTGCTCTGGTTGCAGGAGGTGGCCTCGAATCCTGCTTGAGGCACTACCATATAATCACTGTAGATGCAAACTTCGCAAACTACTGATTTAATCCAAACTCCTCATTTGACAGAAAGGTTAAGCACCTACCCAAGCAGTGAATGAAAGAGGCAGGACTAGAACCCAGAAATGCCAACACCCAGATGAGGGCTCCTCCCACTATAGTCCATGCTGCTTCTAAAAACCAAAGGAGGAGGGTATGGTTCATACTTACCATCTCTGTTCAGCCATTGCTTTCTCGTTCTGTACAAAAGGAGCTTGTTGTGGACATATGGTAAAAGGAACTTGACACACCAGCTCTCCACACCAAGTTTGTTTTCAACCAGGACTATGGGACTCCGGTTATACCTAGCTTCAGGACATGGGATCAGGCCAATTTCATCTCTTGATATGTAAAACACAAAAAAGAATTAAAGATAAGAATAGTAACTCTTTCAAAATTTTTCTAATCCTACAGAATATTTTTAAAAGCCCACATATTTTCCTTTCTTAAAAATATTACTTAGCTCACTTACTGGACTGGTAGAAAATAAGAGTGGTTTGTTAACACTGGCAAGTATGTGGGAAAACAAGTATGCTCATACTCTTTGTTGATGGAACTGAAAATTGGTCTTATCTTTGAACAGCAATTGGGAAGTGTCTTTAAAAATTTTAAACATACATACCATCTGACCCAGCAATTCTATTGCTCAGTAATTAGCCTGTGCCAAAATATACGAATAGGATATTCACTGCAACACTGCAACAAAACTAGAAACAATCTAAATGTTTATCAATAAAGACTGGTAAAATAAATATGGCCCATCATGTGATAGAGCTGTTAAAAAAAAAAAAATGAAGTAGATCTCCATATGTTGGTATGGAAATGGAGAGGTTGCCAAGATACATTAAATGAAAAAACAAACAAAAAAACACAAACTGCCAAACACAATGTACAGGACAAACCCTTTTGTATAGTTTCTTTAAAAGATATATAGATGCATTAAAAATTTTCTTAGAAAGATATCAAGAAACTTTTGGTGAGGAAGGTGTTGAAGACTGTCTAATCATTTGCATGAATTATTTCTATTTTTAAAAAATGTCAACAAATGTGTTTAATAAATACATAAATGTGTTTAATAAAATGTATTTAATAAATGTTTAATAAAACGTACAAAATGTATGTGAAGCAGAAACAAATTATCAATAAAAGCTTTGTTAATGAGATTGGGGCCATTTTTTTTCTTCTTTATACTTTTCTGAACTAAAAAAAAAAAAATCACCCTAATAAGTGTTGTTAAAACACAAAATACATTTTAGAATTTGATCATTTTCACCTCTAGTAACATTTATATCTCTCAATCCACTTCAAAATTAATATTTTTAGAATGTCTACATAGATTTTTTTTTAAAATGTGTCTTTATGAAATAGAATAAAGAACTGGTTCACAGAGTTTGTGTGTGACATTATGTCCCTCGGATTCCCTTGCCAAGAAGACAGTAGTTTGATAGATGCAAAAGGGTGGAAACCTGTTCAATCACAGCTTATTAAAATTTTTCTTTTTCAGTTAGGCCACCACCACAAACTGGTAGGAAGCTGTGAATCTAAAATAAAGTCTCTCCTGGAAACTCAAAACTAGACAGTTAAGAGGTAACCTATTTTCTACTGATCAATTCATTAGTGACACAGGGATATATCAATAAACAAGGGTATCCGAGGGGTTGCAAGTCACTAACAACTCTTTCAAGTTAGTTAAACTCTCAAGTAGATTTTGGGACCTGAAGCTTTTTATCCTGACAACTGGCTCAGTTGATTCAAAGGTGCTTCAATATACCATGTCAATACTATCACACATTTTCTAAGTACCTGCAATATACTGGGTATTTTGTTAGATTCTGAAAATGCAAAAATGAATAAAACAAAGTGGTGTCAAGCTTCAAAGAGTTTTACTTGGAGGTCGTGCCAATACCTGTTATAAAATGTTACACTTTGCCATTCTGGTAATATAAATAGAATTCTGTAGAATGGGGGCAATGCTGACAAAACATCTGAGGTCAATGTCCAGTATTTCAAAATACACTTTTGCACTTATATTTGGTGAAATTAATCTGAAATCTAATTCACTATTAAGACAACTAGCCACATCTAGCTATACTTGACTAATATATGATTGAATCTCTGGTATTTTTCTGGTGTTCAGGTTTTACTGAACATTTAAAGATATTAAACATTAAAACATAAACTAAAATTAGTAAAACAAGTAAATAAATAAACTCAATGTAATTATTTCAGGAAATTCTGTTCTCTGAGATCTAATAACCACATACAACACTTCAAAGAACTGCAGTAGCAAGAATAAAAGAATCCTGGTTTCCAGGTATGGTCTGATTTTGCAGGGGACATTTTGTTACTTAAATTCACAATGTAAAAATCTGTCTTGCTCACTACTTGTATCAGAAATAAAATGCCCAGGGCCGAGCCCGTGGCGCACTTGGGAGGGTGCGGCGCTGGGGGCGCGGCAGTGCTCCCTCCGCGGGTTCGGATCCTATATAGGGATGACCCGTGCGCTCACAGAGCTCACTGGCTGAGCGCGGTGCGGCCGGTCTCAAAAAGGAAAAAAAAAAAAGGAAATAAAATGCCCAACTAATAATGTGGCACCTAAATTACAGGACAGAGCCCTCTGCACAATTAAAAAACACATTTCTTTGGTTGGCTACCATTCTTCCAAGAAACATTTAAAAAAACAAGAATGCTTCGGATATAGCAGGTGCTTAATTACTGCTTATTGAAAAGCTGATTATCCTTGTACTTCAGTGATAATATTCAAATAAAGTTTTCCAAGGTTATCACTTCTTAACCCTCCAGAAGTACATTACTTCTGATTTTCTTCTAATGTGTTGATGGAGTTTGGAGGTATTGTCCTCCCAGAACTCATGGAAATCTGATCCCCAGTGTGGCAGTTTGAGTCATGGGGGTGAATCCTTCATGAATGGATTAAATGCTCTCCCCAGGGGAGAGGGGCCTGAGTGAGATCTTACCAGTTCTTGTGAGAGCTGGTTGCTTTAAAGACTCTGGCACCCCCCCCCCCACCTTGCTTCCTCTTGCCATGTGATCTGCTTGTACCCGCTGGCTGCCTGCCACTTTCCGCCATGAGAAACAGCAGCCTGAGGCCCGCTCCAGATGTAGCTGTCCCAGAATTTAAGCCAAATAAACCTCTGTTGTTTATAAATTACAGTTTTAGGTATTCTGTCATAGCAACACAAAATGGACTAATATATGTGTGTACCAAAACCAGCATGGGTCCAAGTCCTGGATGGACGTGTGTGTGTGTGTGTGTGTGTGTGTGTGTGTGTGTGTGTGTATATATATCTCATGTCACTTTGGTCTTTATAGACTTCAGTTGTGAATTTGGCAAGTCATTTGCCATCAGTGTCCTCATCTGAAATATAGCAATAATAATAATACCTTCCCCTCCTGTTATGAAAACCAAATAATGCAATGTGAAGAATATGGTAAACTATAAAGTGCTAGGCAAAGATGAAGTATATTATCGTTACTTTATTTAAGCGCCTGAGGTCGGTCAGTAAAATTCCTTAGTTAATAGACAATGGGAAGCTGAGGCAAAGTATGTTAAGCTTTTCTCAAGTTATTTGACTGTAAGATACAGTGCTTTGCTGCTTCCTAAAAAAATATAACATGTACTTTATAAAGATAGGTAGGTCAGTAAGATTCCAAATAACAGTGTGTTTGACTTCAGACGTCTGTGCCTAGTCCCTTAGGTCATACCCCACTTTTTTCAGACAATTTAGAATAGGATTCCAGAGTCATTTTAAAACTGGAAGGGACCTTATTCCTCCAGTCTCTCATTTTATAAGATGAGGAAACTGAGGTCCAATGAGGTTAAGGGGATTATCTAAGGTCATATTTCTAGTGGCTAAGTTAAGAATCTGGGCCTCCTAAACTTAGCCCAAAACCCTTGACATCAAAGCGAAGAGCAAAACAGGATTTAGATCAATTCCTTCTAGATTTCTGGCAATTTAAATTTTAATTTCATACTCAAAAAAGCTGAAAAACTGAAGGGAAAAAAACAAACTAAAAGCCAATTGTCATCTCTCTACCACTGTTAGTGATTCGGTATACATCCTTTTTTCCTAAGTATTTTATAAAAGTGGAATCATATTGGAATACTCCTCTATAATCTTTAAAAAAAAAAAAGTAGCAACTCACATTTAATGTCTTCCTACATAATTTTGGTATCTTTAATGGTTGCAATAAATGTGCTATAAATATCAAACACATCTCCAGTTACTCCCTTACAAAATATTCTTGTAAGAGGAATTTCTGGCTCTTTCACCACCACTAAATTTCATCCTTTTACATTATTAAGTTTCTGGACATTTAGATTTCCTGGTATTTAACAAGGTTCTCAAGTTAATACCTGTGTTACCAAGAAGGTCATAGAGTTTCTAAAGATATGAAGGTTTGGGACAGTGATCAAGTTCTAATCCTCTTAAAGAGCTACTACGATGATCACTTTTTAGGATACCTTTGCAGGCCGCTCCAAAGGCATAGCAACTAGAAAGAACAAGCACATTTACCTAAGGTCATACACAGCATGATACATCTCTTTGAGTGCCTCACTTCACAATGGGGATCCATTGGCTTCCAGATGAAGTTCAAGGTTCATATAACACAGATGTTGACTTTGTTCCTCATGTTTAGACAGCTTCTCTTGACTGTACTTTTCAGAAACATCATCAAGTAGAATAGATCTACTTATTATTCACAAAAGTAGTATCAACCAGTTTCCCTTCTGGGAGGGATGGATGGTCTCCAAATACTAAAACTGAACCCTGTAATTGGAGCAACTGAACAGGAAACAGCCCAAGGATTCAGGAAATGGTACAAATCTAATAGTTATGCTTTTAATCTAATAGGTATTTTGGTTTTGCTTTTTTTTTCCCCCCCCAAACTGGAATTCTTTCCAGAATTACCAAGAAGGAAAGTTAGCAAAATATCTAAAGGAACCGATCCTCATATATATATTTTTTTTGTCATTTTTGTGACCGGTAAGGGGATCGCAACCCTTGGTGTAGTGTCACCCGCACTGTGCTCAGCCAGTGAGCGCACCGGCCAGTCCTATATAGGATCCGAACCCGCGGCGGCAGCATCGCTGCGCTCCCAGTGCTGCATTCTCCCGAGTGCGCCACAGGGCCGGCCCTGATCCTCATATATTGATAATTAAAATTTTACTGGTGATTAAGATATTTCAGAGACCACATAGGCTTTCTCATTAATTCCAGACTATCAACTTGGTGTACCACTGAAATTACATTACTAACCTTATTTAGAAAACAGCTACATAAGCTACACAAATTACTACTGTTTACTATTTATTATATGCCATGCTCTGTGTTAGGTTTTACACACATTACTGCACAATAATCTTACAAAGTAGGACTTCTAACCCCATTTTTGAGATGAGGAAAGAATCTTGACTAAGTCTGCCCAGCCAGTAGATGGTAAGCTAAGGTTCAAATCCAGGACTGCCAAACTCTAAATTCAAACTTTTACAACTATGCTACAGTTTAAATAAGTAAATAAAAATCAAGTGTAAGAAGACTACTAGACTCTATGGTTTCCTATTCTTCAGTTCAACTTGAAGACAATCTACAAATACCTTTCATTACTACTTCCTTACTCAAAAATTTTCATTGGGTCGCACCCACTGCCTAGGAAGTATATTTTCCCTGAGCCAACTTCTGCTTCCTTCATGTCTCAATTTAAATGCTTTTTCCTCAGAAAGAACTATCTTGACCTCATCTAAATTAGGCCTCTCTGTTATTATTCTTTCAAAGTACCCTTCTTAACCTTTCTGGCTCTTTACGTAATCTGTGTGTTGATTTGTTTAAAGTTCCATTAGGACAAGAACCTTATCTGGTTTGTTCACCATTCTACATAGACCCAGCTCCTAGCCCAGTATATCCAGAGATTTTCATCGTGCCTGTCAAATAGAGGTGCTCTTTTGCTGAATGTTTGAGTGGAATGAAAGAAATTAAGCCAGACAGTCAGACTTCCATACTTTGGCCCTACTGTACCTGCTTAATCACATTTTGCTACTTTTGGACAGTTCTCTCCTCCCTGTGGAGGTCTTTGGCTCCCTCTGAGACTATAAATCTCCTACCTAGACTTCAATGTTCAGCTTAAAACCTACCTCCACTAACAGCCCTGGCCTAGCCATACCAGCCTCCCCGCTACTTCTATTAGACTCTCGTAGCACAGCACCTGCTCACCACAGTGATAATCTAGCCTTTACCATAAATCGCTCTGCAGGTTAATTTACTATTCATGCAGGAAGGATTTAGGTCTCTAGCTAGACCTGCACTGTGCAATACAGCCGTCACTGGGCACACGTGATCATTATGTATATTAAATAAAATTTAAAATTCAGTTCTTCATTCTCATTGGGCACATTTCAAGTGCTCAATAGCTATATATAGCTAGTGGCTACCATAATGAACAGCAGAAACAGAATATTTCTATCATCACGGAAATTTCTGTGAGTGCCATGAGTACAAGAACTGTATTTTATACTTCTTCCTATACCATAGAGTCAAGATGATACCTACAGCACAGCACCTTATAAACAGTGAGAGTTCAATAAATATTTAATAGAGTACCAAAAAACAACTTGCTGGATAAGAGAACTTTAATGTGACCCCAATTACATTGTGAACAGTGTCTTCCACATTAGCACAGGGTCTATACATTAAGCTAATGCCTGTCCCTAGGTCAAGGCTTCAGTTGTACTGGATTCTCTAAGAGTCAACCATACAAACACTTGGATGTGTTGTCCCCTCCAAAACTCGTGGAAATTTGATCCCCAATGTGGCAGTGTTGGAAGCTGTTTGAGTCACAGGGGCGGATCCCTCATGAATGGATTAATGCTCTCTCTGGGGGACAGGGAGCCTGAGTGAGTCCTCACTCTATCAGTTCCCGCGAGAGCGAGTTGTTTAAAAGATGCTGGCACCTCCCCTCTCTCTCTTGCTTCCTCTTGCCATGTGATCTGCTTGTACCCCTTGGCTGCCTGCAGCTCTCCTGATGCTTTCCGCCATAAGCAGAAGGAGCCTGAGGCCCATGCCAGATGCAGCTGTCCCAGAATCGTAAGCCAAACAAACCTCTGTTCTTTAAAAATTACCCAGTCTCAGGTATTTCTGTTACAGCAACACAAAACGGACTAATACATATGGTATTTTCCAGTTTACAGAGTGCTTCATGTCCATCATTCATTTGGCCAATGTATTTTTGGTGAGGAACACAGGGATTCGGCTTAAGTCTAACATTTACTGAGTAACCACTAAGTTCCACTGTGCGAGGCGATTTTCCTGGGTTCTCATCAGCCTCACAAGATTAAGAGGAAACTGAGGCTAAGATGGCAACCTATTCACATCTATCAGTAACAAAATCCACATCTCACCCACTGCATCTTAGACTCCTTCTGGCTAGATACTTCTACAAAGTCAATACAATTAATGGAGTAAATGTTGACTAATAAAATTGCAATCTATTTTGCATTTCGAGAAAGAAGGAAAACAAAAAGTAAAGGACGAAAAACTTTTATAATACTGAAAGTGTAATTAGATACAATAAAGTTAGATACTAACTTTAAAAGTAAATGATACTTTTTTTTTCTTTTAACTAGAAAAATGGCCTCTTTATTTGGAGAGTAAAAGGTCTAGACTAGGGGAAGAAACATCGGCAATTTTGAAAAGCTCAAATTATAAGACATTTTAAAAGACACATAGTAATATTATTGAAGATACAGTATTTTTTCCTGTGAGGACTATGTACTAAAATATACCTGGTGACTAATACTAAACAATGAGTTAAGCTATTTAAATGTTTCAGACCCATAATACATATCATTATTTCAAATTATTTCAAATGTCCAACTTATCTTAAACTTTTAAATTTTGAATGACCCAAATGTTTATTAAATAATTATAAATTATACATTGATAGATAATATATTAATGAAATTTCACAATAAAAATACAATTAAGGATATTAAAGTCCTTCATAAGTTTTGATAAATGTGATCCAGAAGAATTGGGACAGGTTCCAAACTGCACTGTGTCAACCCAAGCCAATGAACTCTTGATCGGTTCTTCAAATACAATGATGCTCTTTTAGTCTACCTCAGAGAAGAGAAACTAAGATGATTATTGCGTTTTTTATTAGTCTAATCTCTGCTATAATTTATTCTAGAAAAATAACACCAATGATGAGAAAATAGGCCCTTCACTCGTCCAACTTTTTTTTGAGGATGTCTCTTATTTGCACTAAGGCTCCCATTCTCAAAAAGGAATTGAAAGGCTGATATACAACAAGGCATCAAAGCATTCTTTAGAAGGCCCAGCAACCACTCTAGTTACTGCCAGGAAATCATTCCAAACACTCTCATTTTGAAAAAGGCAGCAGTCTTAAGGGGAAGGGAAGTGGAAGCTGTCAGAAGAGGCAGGTGTGTTTTGAGGACAGCAGTATTTTGTTTTTAATGAGGCAGAGTTGCAGGTCTCCAATTGTGTGCCACAAGGGAGCAAGACATCTGAGGGCTTCTTAATTCTTTCATAAGCATCACCTTGGAGGAAAAGAACACTTTGTTAAGATGTAGGTTTGGCAACTCTTTTAGGCAGAAAAGCTGAAGGGGATGGAATGCTTAAAAAGAACAACTCATGTGTTCCAGTTTAAAAAATAAAATATTTTTTAAAACCTCCATAAACAATTAGATAAAATCAAAATAATACAAAACTGTCTGTTTCTTTCCTTTGGGGAGGAGGAGGGATTGGAAAGGAGCTACACCTCTTGCTTCTGCCTTAATCCTTTGAATAACGTTGCAGATATCTTTCTCTTTTAATTGCTTCCTTTTCATTCGTTACATAGTAAAAGCAAAAGTGTCAGAAAGAGTACAGACTTTTGTGGTATCTCCCTGGAGTACTCCAAGTGAAATGGAAAGGAAGAAAGAAGAGATACATGTGTCAGTCCTGTAGTGTCTTATTAAAGAGGGCAGCAGTCTTGGGCATTCGTTACATAGTAAAAGCAAAAGTGTCAGAAAGAGTACAGACTTTTGTGGTATCTCCCTAGAGTACTCCAAGTGAAATGGAAAGGAAGAAAGAAGAGATACATGTGTCAGTCCTGTAGTGTCTTATTAAAGAGGGCAGCAGTCTTGGGAAAAGAGTTAATATGCTCCCTGTAACTATGAATCAGCTTCTGCTAAAAAGTGTCGAGGTTTCCTCCGTTTTATCCCAGACCCACACGGTGCCTACTGAAGATACAGTCTTAAGAATGCACTGTTAACCTTCAAAACACAACGCTTTATTGAAGTCACTTTACAACCTTGTGACAAGTAAGGCGAAAGTCAAAAACAGCCTCCAACTACCTTTAGTTAGTCAAGTAAGGGGTTTTGGCCCCTCATGGACAAGAGGATGGATAACCCCCTCTTACCGACGTCCGGGATGAGCCTCCAAAGAGTTGTGTTTAACAGAGCATAGACAGAGCCACACTGTCGTGTGTGCCCGTGTACCTCACACGGACGTAGGATGTGGACCTACAGGCGAGGTCTTTCAA